TTAAAGTGCTACATAGTCCTGTTTTTTGTTTCAGCTAGCCCAGACTAACACTGCTACATTTCTATCACAAATCACTAGGAAAGGGATAGATAATAAAACAGTGAATATCCTAATGCCATTATATAAATCCATGGCATGCCCACACCTTGAACACTGCATGCAAGGCCGTTTGCCCCATGAAAGATATATATATAATCTTTTGAAAAGGTGCAGAGAAGAGCAACCAAAATGATTAACAGCTTCTGTATGAGGAGAAATTAAAAAGGCTGGGGCTGCTTAGCTTAGAAAGGAGATGACTAAACAAGGGATTTGATTGTGGGTGCTAAAATCCTGAATGGTGTGTAGAAAGAAAGTTATTCTCTCCCCCTTTACGTAACGCAAGCACCAAGGGTTACCCAATGAAATTAATTTAGGCAGCAGGGTTAAAACCAACAAAAGGAAGCATTTTCTTGACACAACACAGCTGACCTGTGGAACTTGTTGCCAGGGGATGCTGCGAGGGACAAAAGCATAACAGGGTGCACAAAAGGACTAGATGCGTCCATGGAGGACAGGTGGTGGTGAGCCATGATGGTCAGCGACACAACCCAGTGCTCGGGGTGTCTCTAACCCCCTGATTGCTGGAAGCTGAGATTGGATGACAGGGGGAGAAATCACTTGATATTTGCCCTGTTCCATGCATTCCCTCTGAAGCATCTGGCATGGCCAGAAGACAGGCTATTGGGCTATATAGGCTGATCCCCAAGGAACCCGAGCTGAGACTTACTAAATTTCACATACATCATCTGTACTGTAAAGACTGTTGGTTGCTGTTGCACCGTCCTGCATTTAAACCTATGACCAAGAGGTGAAACTATCCTGGGCCATTACTGATCTGCAGAGCAAGCATTTAATTTAGTTAGCGCTTCAACAGAGAACCAGGCAGGGGGAGGGGGAAAATTCAGACCCCTCCAAGATACGTTGATTTAATTCCTCTTGTTAAACAGAGAGGATATTAGTGAAGTGCCAGCAGGCTGTGCACTGCACAGGGCCCAAAGACAGTACCAGGAGTTTACACTGTCTAGATAACAGAGTTTGAAGAGAAGCTAGATAATTTCATGGAGGTTAGGTCCATCAAAGGCTACTAGCCAGGGGATAAAATGGTGTCCTTGGCCTCTGTTTGTCAGAGGCTGGAGAGGGATGGCAGGAGACAAATCGCTTGATCATTGTCTTCAGCCCACCCCCTCTGGGGCACCTGGTGCTGGCCACTGTCGGCAGACAGGCTACTGGGCTAGATGGACCTTTGGTCTGCCCCAGCCCAGCCGTTCTTATGTACACTGGGAGATTATTGCAATGGGGGGAAGATGGTGGGGGGAGAGAGGGCGGCATGAAGAGGGGCTTTCCTTCCCTCCTGCTGAGTGGCCAAGGCGGCTCAAGACATTTCCTTTGGCCTGGGAACCAACCCCCCTCGGGGGCCCCTGGTGCTGGCCACTGTCGGCAGACAGGCTACTGGGCTAGATGGACCTTTGGTCTGACCCAGCACAGCCGTTCTTATGTACACTGGGAGATTATTGCAATGGGGGGAAGATGGTGGGGGGAGAGAGGGCGGCATGAAGAGGGGCTTTCCTTCCCTCCTGCTGAGTGGCCAAGGCGGCTCAAGACATTTCCTTTGGCCTGGGAACCAACGCCCTTCTGTTATCCACAGGGGAAGCGGTGAAGCCCTTGGGAGAAGAGGGTGTGAAAAACCAAGTGCACCAGCTTCCCCAGGAGAAAGGAGGGTGCACACCCAGGGTGGATGTAGGCACGCATGGAAGGGGGGAGGCAGTTTATTAGTGAAAAAGAGCAGAATCTGGCTCTTCCCACAGGGGCCTGGACCCATGTAAGTGAACGTAGGGGAGTGAAACTGAGCTGGTGTTTCCCACAGCTCCCAGCCAGCAGCTGGGAAGAGGGAGTCTCTTCCTGCACCCATTAGACAGGATCTCCGTCTTTTTCTGGAAAACAAAAGCATCCGCCTGAAATGGGGAGGTGAGCTTGGACCCTCAGCTTCCCGGCCCTTTTACTTATGCCAGGCTCAGGAATTTGGGACCGGGGAAGACGGATTCTACCCTCCTCTCAGTCCTTACCCACATCCCGAGTTTCCAAAGCCCTAGACAGCCCTCATTGGCTTCTTCCAGAGGCAGGTGCTAGGATGAGGGTTACACAATCCCCTCTCACCTCTAGGATGCAGCAGCTGCTGTTTCTCCTGCCGGACTTCGATTTTACTTTTGGTGGGGTTGGGGAAAAACGAGGATGATGACAGGCCTTCCCTTCCGTAGTCTGAACCGTCAGCTTCCCTACAGAGGAATAGAATCGCCATGCTCTGTAGGAGGGAGGTTCTCGACATTTACAACTCACTGTGCCGTGTACTGGTGATTCGCACTGGTGTACCTATATTCGTGCAGTCACACCCCTACAGACGTGCGGCACTGGCAAAAAGATGGGTTTACACTAGTGCAGCATCAACTGGCAATACCCCAAAATAAACTGTATCAAGCATAAACTCTGGGGCAGCAGATCGACATTGGGGGGTGGGAAAGGAATAGCAGGAAAGCACTTAAAGCGGTTAGGTTTTCTATGAACGTAGAAGGTGGAGACTGACATTCAAACTGCAGCCACCTCTCTCCGTGAATCTGTTCTTATTTAACATCAAATCTTTTCATCAACCACCACACGTGGGTGGTGTCTAGACTGGCAAGTTTTTCCGCAAAAGCAGCTGCTTTTGCGGAAAAACTTGCCAGGTGTCTACATTAGCCGCTTAAATTTCCGCAAGAACACTGACGATCTCATGTAAGAGTGTCAGTGTTCTTGCGGAAATGCTATGCTGCTCCCGTTCGGGCAAAAGCCCTCTTGCGCAAATGCTTTTGCACAAGAGGGCCAGTGTAGACAACGTGGTATTGTTTTGCGCAAAAAAGCCCCGATGGCGAAAATGGTGATTGGGGCTTTCTTGCGCAAAACTGCGTCTAGATTGGCACGGACGCTTTTCCGCACAAAGTGCTTTTGCGGAAAAGCATCCGTGCCAATCTATACACTCTTTTCCGCAAATGCTTTTAAAGGAAAAACTTTTCCGTTAAAAGCATTTGCGGAAAATCATGCCAGTCTAGACGTAGCCGTGCTGCCTTTGAGTGGCATAGTGTAGCAGCAACATAACTACATCAGCGGAAATTTCCATAAAGCAGAGAAGGTCTCAGGGAGGGTCCTGGGAAAGCAGAGGTTCTTTAAGGCCTCTTTGCCTTTCACATCACCACAAAAGCTGCTATTCAAAGCAGCGGCCACGTTTAAGACGACGGAGAGATCTGTGGTTGACTGTGTTAGGTTTGGAAGGCTCCCTGAACCAACAACCTATCCTGCACCTTTGGTCCTGTCATTAGAAGCAGGAGAGTTAACTTGCCAAAAAAGAAGAAAACCAACCGCTAAAGCCGACTGCTACTTTAAAACTCAGACAAGATTTGAAATGCATCCAAAATTTTATTTCATACAAGTACATTGATCACATGGAATGAGCTTGTGCACTACATCACAACTTCAAGTTTCCCTGTTTAAAAAACAAACAAAAACAAAACAAGTCCACTGACATTTACACTGACCCTCTCCCTGAAAAAAAAAAATCACTTCTTGTGTCGGAAGATGCATCCACCTCTCTCTGGCTGATATAATGTACACGTGGCAACTCACTATTGCCATGAACAAAGTTTGTGTGTGTGTGTGTGTGTGTGTGTGTGTGTGTGTGTGTGGGGAGGGGGCGGAAAATCACATGCCAATACTCAAGATATTTTTATTGAAGAAACCTTCAGTAGATCAAAATTTCATACCATGTTGAATATACAGAATATATTTTCAATATTGAAATATTAATTTTAGTTTATGGGGGAAATTTCTACTATGCTAGGCAGGTTTATGTAAATATAAATACTAGAGTGAGATTTTCTGGTTGTGTCCCTAATTGCAAATTGTTTTTTTTAAAAAAATCCAAAATAGTAAAAAAAAAAAAAAAAAAAAAAAAAAAGAAGATCTTCAATTAAAGTTTTGGTTTAATTAAAAAAAAAAATCTCCTTATATTCTTTTCATGCAACTTTTAAAAAGAATTTTAGTTGTAAAATACCTAAGTCATTAAAAAGTTATGACAAAACTTCATGACAGGATTTGAGTTCTGTTCAGGGATTATGCTTCATTGTCAGTTTTAGTAGATGTTATTAAAAAAAGAACAGTTGCAATATATTTACACAGTTTTTACCAATACAAGTGAAAACAGCTGTAGAGTTACTCATTGGCCAAATGTTTCTAAAGAAATCTAAGCTACTAAAACCTACAGTATAAAGGTTGAAATACGGGATCTTGTATTTGAAAGCTAGCAAGGCAAGTTGTACACCATTTAACTACTGGTTGTATTGTATACATGTTCCCAGATGCCAAGAATCACAGAGTAAGAGAGAACCCACTGTTACAATAAGTGGTTTTCTCTACAGAAAAACATTCTGCCTATACACAAGGATGCAAGAGTACAAAAAGTTAGTCGAAAATGTTTTCCACTTTGTTATGGGTGATAAAGATTTTCTGACAGGTACCTTTAGACTCAGTTGTCCTTTTAAATACAAAAATTTGAAGCCACACCTGATTTGGAACTTCATATTAACAGGTTCGTCATATGGATCCCGGAATGATCCCAAATTATATCGGCTGGGTTTTTTTTCCAACAAGAGTACAAAAAGTTAGTCGAAAATGTTTTCCACTTTGTTATGGGTGATAAAGATTTTCTGACAGGTACCTTTAGACTCAGTTGTCCTTTTAAATACAAAAATTTGAAGCCACACCTGATTTGGAACTTCATATTAACAGGTTCGTCATATGGATCCCGGAATGATCCCAAATTATATCGGCTGGGTTTTTTTTCCAAAAAG